TTCTTGCATAAGATTTACTGTTTAGCGTATCTTTGCTTTAATGTGTTACGTTTAATTTGCAATGGAACGTCTTCAACATGATGAACGCCTACGTGCTATTGGCATGCTTCAAATGGGTTCTATACAGCGAGCAGTAGCCAACATGCTTAATGTGTCACAGTCTGCTGATCACAGACTGTGGAACCGGTACCAACAAACACACAATGCTGATGATAGACCTCGTTCAGGTCGTCCTAGAGCCACTACACAAGCCCAGGGTCGATACATTCGTACACAGTCCTGTGAAATCGAGGACAAACGACCAATCAGCTTTCTGTAAACTTGTACCAAGTTACAGGAATTCCGAGTTACACCCCAAACGATTAGAGACGACCGCGTGTTGTGCCTCCATTAACTCGTCAGCACATGGCAAACAGGCGTAAATGGTGTAGGCAGCGTAGAAATCTGGGTAATTGTCGATGGGCGCGTGTAATGTTCTCAGATGAGTCCAGATTTACTCCGGATTTCACCGATAGGCATGCTCGCGTTTGGAGGCGTGTAAATGAGCGTCATGGTAACGTTAACGTCAGACAGCATGACAGATTCGGGCGTGGGTCTGTTGTTGCGTGGGGAGGAATTACCATGACTGGCAAAATGGACTTGCATAGTGTTCAAGGAAGGGTCACTGGTGTGTACTACCGTGACCACATCCTGGCACCGATAGTTCTGCCCTTTCAGGAGGGGGGAGGGGGGGTAGCAAAAATGCGATAGAGGCTGTAGTTGTTGACAGATTCTTTTCAAATTTGGTGCGAAGCATCGAGGCCATGCGAGGACGACTACTATCGATATTCAGTCTACGACAACATTCTGTTCGCGAGTTATCCCCCTTTGCCGGAAACCTTGTGAAAGCGATAGAGGCTACAGTTTTTAACGAAATCTTTTTAAATATAGTTGTTATAAGCATTGGGGTAATGATAGGATAAACCCTGTCAATTTTCAGCATTCTATGACTTTCCGTTTCGGAGTAATTTCCCCTTTGCCGAATACCTTGTGAACGGAATATAAGCTACAGTTGTTTTTTTGTTATAATATTGGCTTGTGAATGCAATAGAGGCAGTGGTTTTTGATGAGCTCATTTCAAATTTGGTGTGTCGCATCATGGTCATGAGAGCACAAAACCTATAGATATTCAGTGTTATACCCCCTTTGCCGGAAACCTTGTGAAACGATGGAGGCTTAAAAAAAACGGCCAAATGAAAGTCGTTTACCTTTACGACAACCTTAAGTTGGAGCTATCCTCAGGGATCATCACCGTCAGCGGCGTTTGATATGGGCTCAAGGACACCATACATGGATAAGAGTAGACTGGCAAAGTGTGCTCTTCAGTGATGAGAGTCGCTTTCATCTTTATCACGCTGATGGCCGTCAACGTGTGTGGAGGCGTCATGGTGAAAGTCTTGCAGACTGTTGCGTCTTCGATGGAGTGGGGGAAGTGTAATGGTGTAGGGAGGCTTCACATTTCATCACCGAACCGCCCTACACATTTGCAGGGGTCGCGTTAATGCTGTAGCCTACCGTGATGATATCTTGCAACCAATTGTTGTTCCGATGTTTCGAGCGCACCCACAACTTCAGCACTTCCAACAGGATAATGCACGTCCGCATACCGCCCGTTTTAGTATGGACTACCTGGCTGCTAACAACACCAATGTCTTGGACTGGCCAGCCATGTCTCCGGACATGGCACCGATAGAACATGTCTGGGTTGAGATTGGACGCCGTCTGTATCGGAGACCACAGATGCACACCATTGCTGCTTTAGAAGCTACTCTTGTCCAAGAATGGAACAATTGCCCCAGGCCTTCTTTCAAACATTGATTAATTCCATGCGACGTCGCTGCACAGCGTGCGTAAGAGCCCGTGCGTCTTCGAAACGAATCGATGGGGTGGGGGAAGTGTATTGGTGTGGAGAGGCTTCACATTTCATCACCGGACCGCCCTACATATTTGCAGGGGTCGCGTTAATGCTGTAGCCTACCTTAATGATGGCCCGTGGAGGACACACGCGCTACTGACATCTGTGTCGTACTTTTGGTTTTGACCCCTCTGACTTTTACCGTTGATTACAGATTAAACATCCATAAGTGTACAAATGTGTTGTTATTGGTGTGTTCCCATTTGAATATTGTTCACAATAAGAAGCAAAATAAATAAGATATATTTACAGGATCATTTTGTTATACGAAAAACTAAGTGATGCGTTTTCCATGGCGCTCAGTATACATAAATATATCTAATCAGATGCCCGCATGTGCAAATGTGCGCGTCACATAATTATGACCACCTCATATTACTGTAATCGAAAAAGAAACTAGGCGTGACCGATTTACCCCCACTATGCCAGTTCCTTTGTTAAGGGGTAAAGATGGGTTCCCGCGTACAAACTGGGTGATTTAAGGGTGTATATGGACTAAAAACATATTCAAACTAATTAATTTGTCATAACTTTGCCTCAAATCCTCCTCAAACATTGTAATTGCGAAGGAATGTCCTGCTATAAAAATTCGATCAAACCAGGTCATGTTTACGTCACGTGACTTACCTCTCTTGGAAGTCAGAGGAGAATTCATTGCATACATAAGACGATGTTGTCTTTAATCGCTTACTATTTATGACAAATATCGAATCCTAATTAAAGTCTCGGATTATCCACTACCCGCGTCTTTTTTCGTCATTTTTATCTCAGAAAGTGTTGTTCGTCTAACTCTTCATAAAGTTTATCAACTTGTACATCAAGCGCTCAATGTTTGCGTGTGACCTTTGACATCACGCGTGCAGAAATTCCTAATCGTCGGGCTGTTGATTAGGGGAACCCTTACATTTTTGTCCTGTATACGCTCCATGAGTGTTTTTCGGGGAATTCGGTATTTATCTAGTAAGATTGGATATCTCTATTTTCTATATATACCACAATTACCATACTTTTTTTGGAAATAACCACCCGATAAATACTTTTCTGGGAACCCATCTTTTAGGAATTAATTAACAGTTAACGATGCAACAATGGGGATTAGTTAGGATTAATTAAGGGTCTACCAGAAGATTAAAACAGTTCACTGAAAGACAGTTCAATTCAATACTTTATTCCATTTCACACCCACTTTTTTACACTTTATTATATATTTTTATCATTATAGTATAGAATGTACAAGTTATCATTCACTGAAAGACAGTTCAATTCAATACTTTATTCCATTTCACATCCACTTTTTTTACACATTATTATACATTTTTATCATTTTAGCATAGAATGTACAAGTTATCATTTAAACATTTCCTTTAATCATTTTCCATTCACTTACAAACATTTTCCTATAAAATATACATTTTCAATAATTCTAAAATTAATTTTACAAGCCTACTAAGTGGGAGACAGTCTCTCTACACCATGAAACTGGCCCACTTGATTAAGGTGTTAATTATAATCCGATAATCATTAACTGTTCAGGGATTAAAAAACTGGCATAGTGGGTTGACCCCGCGTGACCACGGGCCCATTAAACTATCACAGTCTTGAAAGGGCTTTCTCGCGTCGTCAAGAAAAAAGTGTGTACATTATTATACAGTGGACAGCACAAACGTACGGTACAATCCGATGAAATGTTAAAGTGATTACGGTAAGCCTACTATTTACAACAACATAAAATTTAAAAAAAGCTAAATGATTCATATTCTACCAAGTTGGTAAAATTAATTGTATATGTTTTAATTTTTTGTGCGTTAAATGTATAATTATGGCATACATACAAGCCAACCCAAAACAACAAAAAGAGGCGTATAATATAAAACCCCAGGCACCCAGTTGTGTTTTAAAGGAACTAGGTCTCTAACTTACTATGTTACATAATATTCGAAATTAAAAGCACGAATTAGAATTCAATATTGATCAATATCAATCAATATCGATGTTGTTATCTTGCCGAGAAACTATAGGCCATATCATATATACATGTATATAGGCCTATAGAATCCTAACAGCAACATCCAATGTTTAAGACACAATATTAAAGTAGCTAAGTCTCTAACTCATTATCATCCAAAATCTTCAACATTGAAAACACGATTTATTTGTCAAATTAAATCAACATTCATGTTGTGATCTTACCGGGAAAAGATGGGCTTTTGATATCCAATATTTAAGACAAAATAAACATTTTACCATTGGTACACGAATCGTGTACCATAATGCGCTTCAGCCCCAGTTGTATCAAGAGACTCGAGGGACGAGGCTAGACACATTGCACCAAATCAAACGGCGTATGTAGACTGGAATAACCAGACTAGGCTGGCTTATTTCGCCGAACATAACTGATTTGAAATTGGAGTAAAAACGGAAACCATTGAATGTAAATCAGTTTATATACATTCATATTACAGTATTATTATGCGTTGCGACCCACTTTTGTCAATTTCTAGGTAGGTCCCAAATATGTTAGCGATTATTAGCTCCTTTAACATTATATAATCAAAATTAAATATAAATCACTTTACATACATTCTTATTACATTAATATGTGCTTTTAGAACCATTTTCGTCTATTTCAAGGTTTAAAAAAATAGAGCCATATGCCTTTTAAAAATGGTGCGCATGAACTGACCAACTCCGGCCCGCCCCTAAAATCATACCCCCTCCCCCCAAACGCAAGCACCCCCGAGCTCCCACAACTTTACCACTTTCTGAAATCCCATATTATCAGCGATATTATAATAATAGGCTAATTAAAGTTAATTCATCATTTACCATGATATTATTATCATTGATAAAGTCTGAAATTTAGAAAAAGTCATCCGGTTTTTTGCTCCAATCCAGGTCATTGTTTCGACATAACCTTGAACTTAGAATTATTCCTGCCAAATTTGATTATCCAGTCGTCCCGAAAAATTAAAACATCATGGCACAAGAGCATTTAGGTCTGACTGAAGGAGACTACATTTCCCAACCAATGTCAAGGTTATAAAGGGATAATTCTCACAGAGATGTGTGTGCCGATTGAAGGGCCATGGCTCAAGTTGGCGGGGCCAGGTTACATGAATATTTGATATATATTTGACAACCGGATCGAGGCTATCGTCACTGTGAAATTCGTTAGAGGACAGACAAGGGAAAAGGTAAAGTCATGTGTTTTCAGAAATTTTCTCGACTCAACATGGTTTTACTCTAGGTCATACATAGATTTTTAATATTGATTATAAATTTAGTACATTTTTACAATTTTGTGACATTGAAAAGGTTTGCAATAAAAGCTTTTGGAAAATAACGAATTTTGCTAGTCAGCGAAGTTGGCATTGATTTAATGAAGAATGAACTTCATTTATTATGAAGTTATTCTGATGCAGACAATTTACTATATTTTTAGATTTAATTAAATAGGTTTTAAGGTCTTGTCAACATAATATTTTGGTCATTTTGAGATTTACATACAGTTAATTTGTGTTCTATCATAACACGCAAGCAGTGGATTTTGTCTGGACAGCGACTTTAACTTTCGCCTCACTGACTGAGTCTTACTAACTCTTCATCAAATCAAATTCAAAATGTCAATCAAAGGATCTTTTCTTATTAGGTCCATGCCAGGTTCATCTCAAGTGGATAACTTCACACCAGGATTCAAACCTATACTGCTTGACTACCTTAATGTTATACGCATGCTCTTTATTAAGCCCACATTGAAATGTGGTCATAGTCATGCATAAATGTTCAATTAGTGTCCTTACCCTCATCCCTCTAGTCTAAGCCTTTTTCCATCAATTGATCAATTTCTTGTGGTTGTTAGGGGAAAAGAAAAGACTAAAAGTTAAATTATGTTTTGTTCATGAGAGTTGTACATTCTTTTATAAACAACCTGTAGCTCTGAATTAGAATTTATCACTCTGACATATTTGTCAAAAACAAGATTGGAGATAAAAACAAGATTGGGGATGGTGTAATTCATAATAATTCTGATAATGATTTATTAGTATTTGAAGAATAACTTTTTATACCAGATATATTTAAGTAGCCTATAAGTTAAAAAGGACATTAAATTTATTTTGCTAGGTTTGAGGGGAATCCACTTATATGTGCACACTAACATGTTCAAGATGAAATACATCTACATTTAGTCACGTTCATTTGTATGTAATCATCTTTCAGATCATTCAAATTGTTGATGGTAAAGATAATGTAGATAAAACTAGTAGGTTAAAGTAGGCTTGTCTATTAAGTTCATCTTAAAGGCTCAATACCACTCTTGTTGTAACTGAATAATATGTCCTAATCTTTATTCTGGTCAACAAATTGTACTATTTTACAATATTCCAATTAATTGATGATACAAATTTCATCTTAACACACCTAATTTAAAAAATTGGAAAAATTCAACAAAATGATTTGAAAAGCCTGACGTAAAGCTTTTCAAATGTGACTTGGATTTTTGAACCCTTTGGACAAGTAAAATAGGATTTAATGGATAATTTACACAACAGGTAGGACACTAACACATCTAGTACTGAGAATAAGGCTATTTTTTTTATTTTCTGGAGCTGTCAAGCCAGCAAGAGTGTTATTGTCCCTTTAAACTGTGCAAATGCTGTAAAGAATAACAGTCCTGATTATCTTATTGTATTTTTTCTTACAGATTTAAAAGTCGACTGAAGTGTATTTTCAATTGATTGTGTTGTTATTTACCATTTCAACAGTGTCAGATTTTACAGCTTGCGTTCAACACAACCTCCTAAATATAGTGAGGACATTGTGCACAATTAAATCTTCAAGCTTTTATACATTTTAAACCAATTCAAAACCAAAAGGGATGAATTCGTGCTTAAATAATTTTGATCATTTTCATTTCAGATGGCACAACAGTTAGCTAAACCTGGATCTGGAGGGCAGATGCCTAGAATTCCCAGTAAAAACCGATCAGCAGTAAGTAACCGATCAATTATTATTTACATGTACCGGTATTAGAAATTAGCCTAATATGTCACCATAGATTCTCTTTTATCACAAACATGGAACAGCCTTCTGGCCGTATTGTTTAGAGCCAGCAAGACAACTTGAACAGAGATTCCTTCTGATGTCACTGTCAGCAGGCTTGATTACCAAGATACATGTATAGACAGATTCCTTATGTTGCTGTCAGCAGGCTTTGTTGTCAAGATATAGGCAGGTTCCTTATGTGACTGTTGGATGGCTTGATCATCAAGACAGATTCCTAATCCTTCTTATGTCTTTGTCAGCATGCTGGAATATCGGGACAAATTTAGAGGCAAAGTACTTTTAGCGGTCATGAAATATCTCCAGGGGTGTGGATGAACTTCATTATTTGCTCCATACACATTTGGAAATGAATGAGTTAAATGGCTTTAAAAGTTATTCTTCTGGGAACTGTGACGGATAGGAATCAGTTGGACTTTAAGGGTCTTCGAAAATATGTTTTAAGAAGATAAAGTACATTGTGTGAGCTTATTTTATATACTATTACTGTACTATGGAGTTAAGTTTATAATCAATAGTACCCTCAAACTCAGTAAAGTGTTTCTGGTTAAATAAACATAAGGAAGAGTACTTGGCTTTCTTGCATTCTGAAAAATGTTTCTTATGATGTTGTCTTAGTTATTGGCTATGTGTATATTTGAATGGACACAATAATGGTCATAAACCAGTAGTTGTTGCTTAACAAAATGCATGATTATGCAAACATTGTCATGCATGTGTATTAAAATGATTGAAAAAAACAATCAAAATTGGGTTTTGTCACCTCATTATGCCATTTCTACTAAAAGACTTTGGCCAAGAAAGTTCATTGGATTTTCCATCGTGGTTCCTTTTTGTCAGTGGTGCAGGTAGGAAGCCCTGGCAAGGGACAATTCATAGTCGTTCGGATGGGACGGAAAACTGAGATCCCTTGTACACATTGGTGTGTACATAAAAGAACCCTTGACATTTGTCATTTGGAATTCGAAATACATGTAAGAGTAGGCCGTAGTGCCACCATTCGGGCAAAATTTCCCTTACAGCACACTTATAGCACATAGTATGGTGTATGCCTGTCTTCATTAGTGCAGTCGATGCAGAACAGTAGGATGTTAAACCCAGTTGCATTTCCATTTGCGATGCATACCTTAATGTTATCCCGTCTTCATTAGCCCAGTTCGGAGCAAAACAGTAGGACGTTAAACCCCATTTCATTTCATTTCCTTAATGTTATTTTATAGTACTGGAAGTCGCTACATGCACCCAAGACCTACATGTTTGTTATATATAACATGATTTCGGCCATTCTAATTTCTAAATATACTACATGTAATACAAGCTGATAATGTCTGTCTAGAGGTAAAAATCAATCCAATTTGAATTATCCCATTTTTTTTCGACTTGACATGTAGTGAATTTATATATAAAAAAAAAAGATATTATAAACACAGATTAAGTGAGATTTATCAAGATCATCATGAATTTATTTATATTGGTGATTGTTCTGATAACCTTATTGGACTTATTTGTTTTTGATGGGATTAAAATGGAATATTTTCATTTATAATATAGTTGTAATGGTGCTAAAATTTCATAGTTAAATCATTTTTCAGTTGCAGTGCTGCATTTACATCCTTAAGGACAATATTGGTATCAGTCATTATCACATATGTGGTAGAACAGGCTAAATAGAAAAATAGAAACAGTCCGTACATTCCCTTGTTTTTATACGCCCACATTGTCATATAGTTCCAACTTTTGGCGTGTTTCTGACCATGTGACTTACCGTTCAGGGCACTGCGGAGTTATTTATGGCACTGTGCTTTATGGATGGTTGATTTAGATTAACTGAAGCTGCGAGTAATGAAGTAATGTGAAAAAGATCATCGTATATAATTTAAAGTTTGGATTTGATAGCTGACAATAATTGATGGATTACATCTAAGTTATAGATGAAATGATACGTTTAAAAAATTGTAAGTTGTTCATAGTTTGCATACATTTTGGCCCCATGATGATGTAATGCATGTACAGTGCGTTAGAGAAAAATTCTAACCGATACAGAATGCCGGTAAACGTTTTCCCTGGAATACCTAACTGGTTTTGATTTGTCAGACATCCTCCCATAGTCTCATGTAACAACTTTTGGTCTTCAAACGAATTATTAGTGAGCAGAAATTCGCCCGTGTATCTGTTATCACTCGTCACTTCAGTCAGTTATATAGAAGGATAACTTGTGTTTTCCTTTTGCTTTCGTCACTTCCGTTACACGAAATCTTCATTACGTATCTATCATAGCAATAATCTCTGTGTTAAAATTATATTAGGAACCAGTTTTATCATATATGTGATAATGACTGACACCAATATTGTCCTTTAACATGGCTACTTTATATTGTTACCATATAATGAATCGTTTTTTTGCTACATGTAATTGCATAAACTGATGTCTTTATTGTTATAGTGTTGATTTTTTTTTTAATTGCATAAACTTATCTCTTTTATTGTTATAGAGTTGATATTTGCAGTATTTGCACTTTTTTGTTGTAATGAAATTAAATATTTTCAGCAAATCATAGTAACTTCACCATCCAGTAAGGTAAAATTCCTCATCTTTATGGAATTCAGTTTGATTCTTATTTAGCATCTGTACTAGAAACTGTCTTCTATTCATTATTTCTGGTTACTAAAACAATCCAAAATCTTAGACTTAATTACCTCCTTGAAGTTGGAGCTCCTGAATGGTAAATGTACAATTGTAATATATTATACCATTACATTGAATGGATGTAGTGAAATGAATAAAGGCTATTTTGAATGTACTGATTATAAATAAGAATGGAACTATTGGGAAATCTTAAAGATGCATTATTTAAAATATAGATAAAGAACTGCCAGTTCTAGCTTTAATAGTATAAAAATAGATAATGATAAATAAATATATTGAAAATTTCAGTCAAATTACTTTATTCTGAGCAATATTATGAATGTCTGAAGTTTTGTCGAGAATATTCTCGATTGTCAAGTACCATTGCTATGATAATAAACAAAGTCTCAATAGTCCATTTTAACGTTTAACAAAGATATGGCAGATATTATCTAAGTAATGGCTTAGATAGTTGATTATGGGCTTGTCGTCTAAATTTATATCACATTTGAGGCAGATACGTAATGCATCTTTAATTCATCATCAACTCTCTGGATTAAATTGGCTATTTTTAATTTGTAAATCTTTGCTTTGCTTTTAAAACCCCAAAAGCATCTGATTAATATTTGCATGAACTGATGAAATTGAGTAGAACAGTTATTTGAAGGTTTCATGAACAAAATTTATAAGCTTATGGATCTGATTCCACCATATTTGTGACTTCTGGTTGTACTGTACTAGTCTGGAGGCTCAGCGCGGGGGGGTGTCCATCAAATGGGCACAAAACCAGACCCAACTTTTCTAGAGTAAAATTTTGCGTAGAATACGATGCCGAGTGGTAATCAGTCCGTGGTTGGGGCGTTTTCGAGATATTCGGGGTCAAAGGTCAAATGGGTTCATTTGCACTGAAAGTGAATGCGCGGTCATTCTTGTATCACGAAAATAAGCTGAAAATGATCGAAAGTAATCACGCTTTCAATAAAAATGTAAACTTGCTAAATTCACCTTTGTTCTTTGTGACGCCAGAGGTCAAAAGGTCACATTTTCTGTTTTAGCACTAGGAAGATTTAAAGTAATAAATGTAGGCGTAAAATATAAAAACTAAAGCGAAACCTGTTCTAATTAATAATAGGAACATTTAAAATTTATCTTTAGGTGGTCTTAGCACAAAACTTTTACTTTGGAACGTCGAAAATGATCTTGCATAACAGAACCAAAACACTTCGGAGACTGTTTCAAAAATACGTAAAAACTGTTAAATCAAAATCTCTCCGAATTAGTTTTACAACAAATGCTATACATAATGATACTAGTTGTCTGAAAAAAACAATTAAATAGTTCCATGGCTGGACTCCAGCCTGCAGGCCGCGTCACAAAGCCTGCCAAAATTTTCCCCCCAAACATTTACCAATACGACATATATCCTGTGAACTACTATGTACAATGCATTCGTCGGTTTTATCTGTGTCCATGTTCCGGCGAAATTCATAAAAACTCATAAAAAGTTTGCAAACTTTAAATCTCGTCGCCAGATAGGTGTTTTCCCGTCACAGATTAACGTCGGTTTTCCTGACTGGGATTCTCGGAAATCCACGCGGCCTGCAGGCTGGAGTCCAACACTGAAACTATTCAATTGTTTTTCAGATAACTAGTATCATTATGTATAACAATCGCTGTGAAAATAAATCGGAGAAATTTGGATTTGACAGTTTTTACGTATTTTTGAAACAGGTTTCAAAGTGTGTTGGTTCTGTTACGCAAGATCATTTTCGATGTTCCAAAGTAAAAGTTCGGTGCTAAGACCACCTGAAGATAAATTTGAAATGTTCCTATTATTAATTAGATCAGGTTTCGCTTTAATTTTTATATTTTACGTTGACATTTTATTACTTTAAATCTTCCTAGTGCAAAAACGGTATATTTCACCTTTTGACCTCCAGGGTCACTAAGACTAAAGGTGAATTTAGCAAGTTTACATTTTTATTGAAAGTGTGATAACTTTCAATCGTTTTCAGCTTCTTTTCATAATACAAGAATGACTGCGCATTCACTTTCAGTGCAAATGAACTCATTTGACCTTTGACCCCGAATATCTCGAAAATGCCCCAACGGCGGACTGATTACCACTCGGCATCGTATTCTACGCAAAATTTCACTCTAGAAAAGTTGGGCCTGGTTTTGTGCCCATTTGATGGACACCCCCCCGCGCTGAGCCTCCGGTCTACACCTGTTGTTAGCTGGTGCAGCAAATACTTTTTATAAACACTTACATGTAAAACCAGAAAACCAGTGTGGTGGGGGTATGAGACCTTCAAATGTCAACCTTTGTCACTCAAATATTAACTTTATATTAATAATGTAATCGTCCAGATTAGACATGCAATTACATTTGGCATGCTTAAATTAAAAATACTATTTAAGATTTAACACTGTATGTAAATAAAGACTATTTTTAACATTGTATGTATTGGAATATTACAAATTATGGATTAATTTAACTCCATACATATTCATGTATTGTACTAGAAACAGTTGTATTGGAATTTAATTTGCTTGTAATTTCCCTTTTGTGTTGCATGAAGTTAACTTCAAATACACTTTAATGCATTGTACTGCAATGTGCAATACATACATGTATTATCCCTCATCGTTTAAGTTACACAGGTGGTGGTAAAATTCAATCCTGGGTAATATTGTTTTAGCTTTTATGTTCAAATTAGATATGTTCTGAAAATAGTGATTAATTTGTAAAAGGCAAGATTATTATACACGGTAAGACTTAAAGTTACTTTCCCACAAAAGTATTTATGGTATGGTTATTTCCAATAAAAGTATGGCATCTTTGATATATATGAAAAGTAGAAACATCCAATCTTACAAGAAAAATACTGGATTCCCTGAAAAACACACATGGAGCACATATCAGGGCAAAAATGTAAGGGTTTCTTTAACCGGCAACCCCAGGATTAGGGATGTCTGCACAATTGACGTCAAAGGTTGCCCGCAAAGATTGTCTGATCCCTCGGCGTTGGTGAGCACTTGATGTATATATTGATAAATTTGATGGTGAGCTTAAACGTACAACAATTTTTGAGATAAAAACCATGGTAAAGACAAGGGCAGTGGATAATCCGAGAATTTAATTACCGGTAGGCTTCGATATTTATGATAAATGGACAGTAAGTGAAGACAACATTGTCTTGTATATGCAATGAATTCTCCAGCTTCGCACCAGTTGCTAGGTACCGCGTCCCGTGACACAAACATGACTTCTTTTAATAGATTCTTTTAAAGGAAGAGGTATTCCCTGGCGAAAACGATGTTTTGAGAAGGAATTGAAGCAAAGTTTTGATAGATTAGTTTGAATATGTTTTTAGTCCAAATATATCGTCAAATCACGCAGTTTGTACACGGGAAAGTATCTTTAAGCTTACTTCGATTATATTAAATCAACTATTGAACATAACACATAGGCATTGTTTGTTACTGTATTGTAGAGAAGCTGTCATACATAAAAGGATTTGAAATAGTTCCAAAATTTTTAGTGTTTTTATTGCCATTTGATTTTCTGTCTATGCCTTGTAAAGTTTTCCATGCTTAATTAGTCCCTTGCTTGTCTTCATGCTCTTGTTTGCCAATTTCTGACATTTTCTTTGGATGATTATACAGACACAGGCATTTATAGTGTTAACACAAAAGTAGTCTTCTTATATTAGTTATAATTTGTTTCCGGTTGTTTGTACAGTGTACCTGCATAGAACAAATTCTTCCCAAAAAATGAAAGGTTTAAAGAAATAATCATGTAACTTTATCACTAGAATGGAAATAGAATAATATTTGTATATTGGCGAAAAATGTTTTGTTTTTGCTAATCATACACAGGGTGATTTTTATACGCCCACATGGAAATGTGGACGTATATTGCCGTCACCCCCGTCCGTCCGTCTGTCGTCCATAATTTCTTGTGAACGCTCTAACTCCAAAAGTTATTATCCGATTGTTTTAAAATTGATATGTGGTTTACATTAGTGAGATGAAGAATCTATTTTAATTTCAATACTTTCTGTTGAACCTTGTGAACGCTATTACGCCAACAGTTATCATCCGATCTTTGTGAAATTTATATGCATTTTGTAGAACCTTGTGAACCCTCAAACGACAAAATTTATGATCTGATCTGTATGGAACTGTCTTGTAAAGGCCCCAAATAAAAGGAATTAATGTGTGACATCCCATGTCGACCGCTCGGACGATTTAGCGTATGTGGGCGTATGTTTCGTTGCCTGGCAACCTATCTTTACAAAAAATCTGAGATTTTGTATTTTAAAGACTTTAGTTTTCCTGCTAAGCTTAAGGAAGTATGAATCTCTGTATGAATTCAAGAGACATTAAGACAGTCCTATTAATTTTGAATGAACCATGAGGAAGGTAAATGATAAGATTTAGTGACATTCGCTACAAAAGAATAAATATGCGACAGCCCTTGTCGACCGCTCGGACAATTAAGATGCTGTGGGCGTATGTTTTGTTGCCTGGCAACCTATCTTTAATAATCTCTAAACAAATATTTGATATTAAAAGAATGTGAAAGAAATTACATGTGCTAGATACACAAGATTAAATGATACCCAGGTTACAGTGTGATTCCATTCCATTCCATAAAGGTAGGAGGAAACCAGGGGACCCGGAGAAACCCCTTAAAGTTAAGCATGCGACACTACTGTGTCATGTACAAGTGTCAATCGAAACCATGCCACTTGACTCGATGACAGACTTTATGATCTATAGCTCACGCGTTTGGTCACAAGATCAACTTGTTTCTACACTATACATCGACCCATATCAAAAAGGTTTAACTCACTTAAACTTAAATGATAAGTACAGTACATGTAGTTTTGGCTTACATTTTGTTATCTTCAAGTGATACTATTTTAAAAGCAGTTGTTTGTAAA